ATATATACATATAATATATAATATATACAAAATCGAAAAACATATTATGCATATTGTTCTTAATTTAATTATTATCTGATATTATTTTATATAAATAATTTTAATGATGATCGGTTTGGATTCGCAGAAAAATACATTTATGATGCTTCCATGGGTGGTTCTGGGCCTTATGCTAGCCGTTGCCTTTCTTGTGAGTGTCCTTTACACTGCAATTATGTTCTTAGTAAACGGCGAAGTTCTTAATGGCGTTCTTTGGCTCGTATTCGGCCCAGTTGCCGTCGGTGAGTATTTAACGTCAGTTGCGTTTGAAATACCATCACGAATCTTCAATAAAATTCTTGTTATTCAGAAAAAAAATATTTTAAAGAAAGCAATTTCTTTCTTGTTCATCATTATGAATCGAGGAAGTTGAAAATCTTAAAGAAGTCACAACCACAGAATTATCTATAAAGAATACAAGATCTTCAGTTAGAAGATAAACTGACTTCTATGGCCAGCCTGACTATAGAAGTCTGATGGAAGTTTAATCATAGAAGTCTGTAATCATAATACTGTTGACAATCTAAAATTAACTAAGATTTTTATCAAAGAAATTGATAGACATTGAAAGACGTTTGTGTAATTAAGGCAACTTATGAAAGTGTTTTAATCTTTTGCAGCAATATACACGTACATGTGGCTAGTAGTGTATAGCTATTTCCAGCAACTGAAGATCGAGAAGATGAGCAAAAGAATAGGTCCTTATGGAAAGCCATACAATTACCGACGAGCATGAGAGCAAGATTGAATGTAAATACACGATTGCAGAGGCCTGTCAGCGAAAGCGATCGTGGCTAGAGAACAGCATGACGACCGCAGCAACCGCTACCGCTCGTATAAACATTTACAAACTCGTCGACTCACGACACGTTGTTAGAATCGGTTGCAAGTTGCAGCGGTTTATATCGTTTTCGCCAATAATAAATATCTTTACACGGAGAGAATGATTTTGCTGAAATATCTAAAAATTTAGATAGATTACAAATGTGAAAATAATTTGTTTTACGATTAAACGTAATGCTTATCATACTATGTTTATGTAGACAATACAAGTATGATGAGCAATGCAAAAAATTTTGATGTTGTAATTAGTTTAAATATTTTATACTGAAAAAGCAATTTTGCTGAAGAATTTAAAAATTTGACTAGATACAAATCTGAAAATAATTTTGCAGGAATCTTAAGCATATGATGCTGCAAAATATTGATATTTTAGCAACCAGTTTTACCTAATCCTATCTAATCGTTTTGATGATCCAGCAAAATTATTTTTCAGATCTATATCTAAATTTTTAGATTTTACAACAGAATTGCTCTTTCAGTGTATAATTATTTTTATAATCGAATACATAAAATTATTTTCAGATTTAACTAAATTTTTAGGAACTTTAGCGAAACTATTTTTTTCGTGATTCGCTGAATAACGTCAGATTAAAGTCAATTTTTCTTATTCAGTCATTTATCTAACGGAAATATCTTTTCGTTAATTATAAATCTATATAAGCGGCGTTATAAAGGTATTCTCGTCATAGTTTGCACCAAAGCACGATATATTTCGATTTACATGACCGGATATTTCATAAAAAATATCCCTTAATCTGCGTAAAATAAACATAAGCTAGGACATTTTTACATTAGATCTTATTTATTATATAACTATCATTATTTTGTTTATAACGAAATACTTCCGTAATTTTAAAGAATTTTGCTTTCGAATAACTAAACTGTTAAATGTTCTAAGTGCAATTATTAATCAGAAATTAGCAAAAAATGTTTTTTATACACTATTAATTAAATATCATGTAACATTAATTAAGAAATTATTAATTTAATAGTCTAAACTTGAACAAAATGGAGTAGAAATAGAAAATTAACGAAGTGAAAAGCTATCGATAAATTGATTTATATTATTATAAGATAGTTTATGAAATGTTTTTATAAGATGAATTTTTGTCAAATAATTAGACACTGCCTTTCTCAGATCATCAAGATACAATAACAATAAGATAGAATTCATTAGTGGATTGGTGAGACAATTAATTCGCATCGTTAATTAATTTTTTTAATTTGTGAAAGAAGAAGAAACGGAAGTGTCACACAAAACAAGTTTTCATGTCAATATCATTAGAAAAACAGACTCTCTTATTTTAACTATTTATTCTGATCTTTCTCTTCCATGTGCCATTGTATTTTTTTTCAATCTTAATAAATATTATTTATTATTTAAGAACAAATTAGTTTTTTTCAATACCGACTATTAAAATTCTAAAAGTTACTATACCTTTCTAATAAAATAAGTTCTTTTATAAAATATACATTATATCTGCTGCATATATACATACATAAATATATTTCAGCTCCACAGAAGTAACACAATTTTTCGAATGATACACTATTTTTTACCGAATACATTTGTTATACTTATTCTTCTTAATTATATTTCTTGTCAGGAATATAAGATAAGACTTTATGTATATAAAACAGAAGATATTTTTTCTTGTAAAAAATTATGAAGGTATGTAATTGTAAAGAACTTCAACAAAAAATCAGATTTGCAAAACAATAAAAAGAAACATCAGATATAAAAGTGCTCCATATAAATAACAGAAATTTAAGGCTGACTAAGAGCATTTTCTATATTTTCTCGAATAAATACGGCAAGACTCGCGGCAGCAAGACTTGTCGTATGATTATCACATCCAAAGTCGATTATCGACGATGATCGCCGAGTGATTTGGTGTTCGTTAGAAAGTCTGAAACATTTAACATAACATTTCGATATTTCATTTGCGATATTTTTTTTACAAAATATTAAATACTTGTAAAATCTTTAACACGAATACATTAAATACACGTATAATGCACATTCTAATTGGCTGAAATATTTATATATTATTGCAATTATACGTTCTATATTAACTGTAATAATTGCGATGAAATTGTGATGAAATATTGTAATTGCATAATTAAAATATGTATCTCTATAAAAAAATATGTTTTCTAATGCATAGACAATTACTCGATTACACCAAAGCAGCCACTCCAATGAGACCAACTCAGTATTATATCTTCATAATGTTTATCGACGAATTCGTAGTAACCTTCCATGCCGCATAGAACAACTAAAAAAAATAATAAAAAGTATATTTTTCATATTTGTTTATATATGTATATACTTTCTTTTTATTTAATCCTTTCATTACGAAATACGAATATATATGTATATATATGCTTCATTGTCAATGGAAAATTCGTATACATATATGCAAGCATGTTGCATCCTGACAAAAATAAAAATTAAAGTGTAAATAAAAAATAAACATTGAAGTGTAAAAAGGAAAGTCACAGAATAATTTAAAGAAATTTTTAAACGAAGGAGACGAAAATTGAGATAACAAGAAGCATACACCTTTTTTTATGTTCTGTTGTCTCAATTTTTGCCTCCTAGAAGCTCTGTCTACGCTTTTATCACTTTTTCCTTCGATTTACTCCAATTTTTATTTTCGCCAGAGTACGCATAATCAGTTTATGTACAAAACATGAGCTGCAATTAAAAAATTAATATATAAAATATAAATATTTTTATCGCTCGCACGATTACCTTGCTCCAACATGAGATCTCGCGTAACGTTTGGGAAGTTCCATGCTTCAAGATTAATGAGATTCTGAAAGATCCTGGTACAATACGTGGATACCAAAGAGGAGAGCGAAGCCGTTTTGTCGATGACCTCTTCGCATCCCAGCTAAAAAAAATCAATTTCTTTTTGTTAATCAAACTTGAAGGTAAACGTAAAAATGCCCGAAAAAGATTTCTTCTCTTTTTTTCTCGTGAGCGTAATATATATGTAATGTATATGTAATGTAAGTATACGATGTAATAATTAAATTTCTTAGCCTCTTACTACTTTAGCAACTTGAACGATGAGCAATCTATGTGTAAGAGGATATCCGGTAGTATCATCTTCCTTTATCAATGTTGCGACACAAGCAACGGGAATTTCACATTCCTCCTTTAAACTGCTACGCATTATTTCGATTAAACATTGATCGCTTTCCGTTTCAGTGGGTGTTCCATGCCATATTGATCGAACAACTTCCTGATAGTTTAATAATTGATGAGGATAAGATCTCGATTTTGAAAAGACTTTCGTCCACGATATAGATTTTATCCACTGATTGGGATTGTTTAAAGTCGATAGCACTGTAAAACTTTAGACTTCACAAAATCTGATCGATATGTAATAAGCAGTGGCATTAATCAATAAAAAAGGTTTTCAACAACGTAAATGTAAAAAGTAATTTTGGAAATTCTTAATTTTAATTTTAAAGAATTAT